GCCCGGCACCAAGCTCAGCGCACACCCGCCTCCACAGGCATCCCTAGTGTCTGCTGTGCTCTGAGGCTCCTCCCAGGCGCACGGGGGCCCTTAATGCTCAGCTTCCTCCTGGGACGGGGGCACCGAGTCCCAGCACGCTCCATGCTGGCCTCCACTCCCCCGGGGTCTGGCTCGGCTCGGGAATCGGGTTGGCTGTCATGGGACCGTGCGTGTCACCGGCTGGGACAGTCATGGGAGTCCATGTCACCTAGATTCAGGATGCCCAGGCAGCAATGAGACTCTACATCACGGTGAAGAAGGAGTGGGAACGCGCAGTCCAGGACAGACGCCCCCCCGCGGCCGCCACTCCAGACCATGGCAGGGATGACGCGTAGCGGAGCCCACCGCCCCCATGGCAGCGTTTGCGTCCACAGGCACTTGTGACGAAGTCACAGGACAGTCGAGTCTCCCCAGAGTGGCGACAGAGCGTGGCAGCGGGATGGGGCACTCGTGCTGCTGAGGGCCCTCTCTGTCCTCCGATGGGAAAAGCGTTTGTCCGGGGCACAGCCAGCAGGCGGCCAAGCCCTAGTACCATGTCCCCACCCACGTGGCAGCCGCTCTGCTGCGTTCACCGGGTCCCAAGGCAGGAAGCAGCCAGGTGTTCACGCCTTCCTCCCAGGAGGCCCTTCCCTCCGCCGCAGCGATGGGGAGTCTGCAGCCTCGAGGAGCCCAGACCACGGTCCGCAGCCAGCTCAGCCGCGGCCTCACCGAGGCATTTCCTGTGGCCGCCCCGGGACTGGCGCTGGTGGCAGTGTTCCTCTCTCCCCACCCACTGCCCGCCAAGCTTAACCCCAGGGTCAGCCGCGCTGTGGCCAGGTCAGCTCAGGCTGCCCCGCGTGGTGGGCTGTTAGCACTGAAGTGCCTCCTGGGCCGGAGCTGACGTGCTCATCTCGGGTGATCTGACCAGGGTCTCAGAACGCGGGGAGCACCGGGTGCCTGCAGCCCAAGGCTTACCTGCGCCAACAGGTACAAAAAAGACCCAGCCCACTGAGGATGCGATTGGACGTGAGGCTTTACTTGAGGTGGAGCTGCGGGGGCCTGTGTCCTCGCTCACAGCGGCTGGAAGGCTTGTATCCGGCTGAGGCCCGTACAGAGACGCGTCCAGCAGCTGCCCCTTCCCTCCCCCCTAAGGAA